ACACGTACCCAAGATATCCAAACAATTCTAACAGACTACTTTCAAAAGCTATACTCTCTAAAGGAAGAAAATCTGGCGGAAATGGATGCATTTTTAGAGAAATACAAGTTACCCAAACTGAGCAAAGAAGAAGTTAACCAATTAAATAAGCCAATATCCTATAATGAGATACAGGAAGCTATCAAAAGTCTTCCAACAAAAAAAAGCCCAGGACCAGATGGATTCACAGCAGAATTCTATAAGACCTTTAAAGAAGAACTAATACCCATACTCCTCAAGCTCTTCAGAGAAACAGAGAAGGAGGGAGCTATCCCAAACTCATTCTACGAAGCCAATATCACACTCATCCCCAAACCAGGCAAAGACCCAACCAAAAAGGAGAATTACAGGCCAATCTCCTTGATGAACACAGATGCAAAGATCCTTAACAAGATTCTAGCTAACAGAATCCAGAAACACATAAAAAAAATAATACACTATGATCAGGTAGGCTTCATCCCAGAGACACAGGGATGGTTTAACATACGTAAGTCAATAAATGTAATCCAGCATATCAACAGAGCCAAGGTCAAGAATCACATGATTATCGCCACAGATGCAGAAAAGGCCTTTGATAAAATTCAACATTCATTCATGCTAAAAGCTCTGGAGAAAATAGGAATAGAAGGAACATTTCTAAAAACAATAAAAGCCATTTATGACAGACCAATAGCCAATATTATACTTAATGGGGAAAAGCTACAACCAATCCTCCTAAAAACAGGAACAAGGCAAGGATGTCCACTGTCTCCACTCCTCTTCAACATAGTCCTAGAACCCTTAGCCAGGGCAATAAGGCAAGAAAAAGACATTAAAGGGATCCGCATAGGGAAAGAAGAAGTGAAACTATCCCTTTTTGCAGACGACATGATACTATACCTCCACGATCCCAAAAACTCCATCCCCAAACTTTTAGAAATCATAAGTCACTTCGGCAAAATAGCAGGATACAAAATAAACCCACAAAAATCAGTTGCCTTCCTATACACTGATAACGCACAGGAAGAGAGGGAAATAAAGGGAGCAACCCCATTCACAATAACCTCCCAAAAAATAAAATATTTAGGAATTAACCTAACCAAAGATGTAAAAGAACTATTTAATGAGAACTATAAAAAGTTAAAGAAAGAAATTGCAGAAGACACTAGGAAATGGAAAGACCTCCCATGCTCCTGGATAGGCCGACTTAATATAGTAAAGATGGTGATACTTCCAAAACTAATATACAAATTCAATGCAATTCCTATTAAAATCCCAATGACGTACATCACTGAAATACAGAAAACAGTCCAAAAATTTATATGGAACAACAAAAGACCTAGAATAGCCAAAACAATTCTAGGGGATAAAGACAATATGGGAGGGCTATCCATGCCGAACTTCAAACTCTACTACAGAGCTATAATCACAAAGACAGCATGGTACTGGCACAAAAACAGACCCGAAGACCAATGGAACAGAATAGAAGATCCAGATATAAATCCACAGGCCTACAGCCAGCTGATATTCGACAAAGGAGCCAAAGACATACAATGGAAGAAACACAGCCTCTTCAACCGCTGGTGCTGGGAAAACTGGGCAGCCACATGCAGAAAACTAAAAGTGGACCCCAGCCTATCACCATGCACCAACATCAACTCAAAATGGATTAAAGACCTTAACATTAAACCTGAATCTCTGAAACTACTGCAGGACAGAGTAGGAGAGACACTTGAACTAATAGGCACAGGAAGGAACTTCCTGAACAGAGTCCCAGGGTCACAACAAGTTGGAGAGAGACTCGACAAATGGGACTACCTTAAAATAAAAAGCTTCTGCACAGCTAAATCTATCGCAACTAAGCTAGAAAGACAACCAACTAATTGGGAAAAAATATTTACCAGCAATATATCAGACAAGGGGTTAACATCCTGTATATACAGGGAACTCAAGAAACTAATCCCTCCCAAACCTAACAAACCAATTACTAAATGGGCAAGGGAACTAAAGAGGGACTTCTCAAATGAAGAAATAAAAATGGCAAAGAAACACATGAGGAAATGTTCAGCATCCCTGTTGGTGAAGGAAATGCAAATAAAGACAACCCTGAGATACCACCTTACCCCAGTCAGAATGTCCCACATCCACAAATCAGCCAACGACAAATGCTGGAGGGGATGTGGAGAAAGAGGAACCCTATTACACTGCTGGTGGGAATGTACACTTATACAACCACTTTGGAAAGCAGTCTGGAGGGTCCTTAGAAAGCTAAAGATTGACCTCCCTTACGACCCAGTCATACCACTTCTAGGCATCTACCCTGAACAACAGGAACCAATATACAAGGACACGTGCACCTCCATGTTTATTGCAGCACTGTTCGCAATAGCTAGGATATGGAAACAACCTAGGTGCCCCACCACAGATGAACGGATCCAAAAATTGTGGTATCTATACACAATGGAATATTATGCAGCCATTAGAAATGACAAAATAATGGCATTTGCAGGGAAATGGATGGAGCTAGAAGGAATCATGTTGAGCGAGGTAAGCCAAGAACGAAGAGACAAACGGTACATGGTCTCCCTCATAAGTGGATGCTAAATCCAAAAGGTTAGGTGATACGACAAAACTAACAGGACTTAAGAAACAAAGAACTCCCGCTCATCTGGTTGAACCACTACTAAATATCCTCATGCTGCTGATCACAAATATGGTATATAACATGTGAACACTGTTATATATTACAGACTGTGGTAGACAATTTGCTCCAGGGAAGTTAGAATGAACTTGTGACTTTGAAATTATGTAATCATTTAATCACAATCAAAAAAAAAAAATTTGAATGGAACAATAATATATTGAATGCGGCGCTATTCCCTATCACAGTTGTAGTCACTTACTCCTGCATATATGTACATATTCTTTCCTTAGGTAAACTGAAAACAACCTGAACATCAATTAACAAAGGGCTGGCATATCACTGATGTTCAACATACATTTAACCAACTGAAGGATAGTCCACCTTTAGTCCAGCTGATTAGGAGGCTGAGGCAGAAGGAGGGCTTGAGCCCACAAATCTAAGGCTAACCTAGGGTATACCGGAAAATCCTGTCTCAAAGAAACAAAAACACCACGCCTGGTGTTATATACCTATAATCCCAGCAATCAGGAGTGACTTACTCTTGACTAACAAGAAAAATAACATTATAAGGCTAGACAATTGCTTATTTGTAAGCATTTTGTATTGTTGTTGGTGCTGTCCTTTTTTTTTAATCAGTCGTGGGGCTTGAACTTTGGGCCTGGGCGCTGTCCCTCAGCTCTTCAGCTCAAGGCTAGCATTCTACCACTTGAGCCACAGCGCCACTTCCAGTTTTCTGGTGGTTTATTTGAGATAAGAGTCTCACTGACTTTCCTGCCCAGGCTGGGGTTGGCTTTGAACTGTGATCCTCAGATCTCAGCCTCCTGTTCCAGGCATGAGCCACTAACATCCAGCAACCAAGATAGTGGATCCTAGAATACAAGCTTATTGAATAAAGGTTTATATTGCAACAAGCGTGAGCCACTGGCGCCTGGCCTGCTGTTTGTTTTTTAAGATAGGGTCTCTCTATGTTGCCCAGGCTGGCCTGGACAACAATAGGCCTGGGCAACTCACAATCCTGGGTCAGTCTGATCCTACATTGGCTTCTGCATAGCTGAGATTACAGACAGGTGTGTACAACCATGCCCATTTCTTTTTTTTTGTTTTTGTTTTAACCATGCCCATTTCTTTCTTTCTTTCTTTCTTTTTCACAATGGAAAGGATACTTTATTAGGGTTTTGATCATACAGGAAATCCATGAGACAAAGGTGAATTGGACATTGATGGGCTTTTTTTTTTTCCATATTGTAAAGAAATTTTAAGCCTCATGAATTTGCAAACAATCATAGTGGAAAAAAGCTAGGCTGCATTTGAGGAAAAGATGTGGCTAACACTCAAAGAACTGTGCTTGGCCCTCAACATTTGCTATCTTAATCCTTGCCATAGCTCTCTATGGTATTCTAATAGGAAACAGGTCTGAGGTTACAGATCGGAGACCCTGACTTCACTGGATCCCTCCTATTGGTCACTAGGGAGAACAGAACTAGAGGCTGCACAGAGTAGCCCCTATGAGGCATGCTGCCTGGCCTTCATTTCCCTCCATGAGTGAGTGCGAGCCCATCTCTGCCTCAGACACCATGTTCCCCACCAGCCCTGCTCCTCACTTCCAGTGGCTAGCTTACCTGTATTCACCAGTAGATTAAACTAAGGCAAGTGCCACAGTCTCAGTTACCAGTTTCCTGTACTAAGCTCCGTACTTACAGTGAGGGGTTCTGTTGCAGTAGTTACACTACCTCCTGTAATGAAGCCCCTCTTGTTGCCTATACCTAAATGTATAGACTTAATGGTGCGACTAAACAAAAGGACACTAAGGCAGCACAGAACACATACATTAACTAACAGAGGAATATTAAAATACCAAATTCTCAGTATTTCTTGAGAGAATACATGCAAGACATGTTCTCAAGTCTGGAAGATCCAGAGACAAGAACAACATGGGTTTACTGAGCTGCCTGGAAGACCAGCCGAATGAATTTCCTATCAATGAACTTTATTTACTTATTATCTACAGTCCTGGGAACAGAACCCAGGGCCCTGAGCATCCCTGGCAAGTGATCTGCCACTGAGCTTACATCCCCATTCCCCGATGAATTTTAAAATAAGGCAAATACTTTTCTGTAGGCTGCATCTTCCCATGAGCTAGCTCATGGCACCTCAGGCCTATGACTGACTCTAATTTCTTACAAGAAGGTAAGTATGTATAGCTGTACACTAGGGGCATGGTATAACGGATCTGGTTTGCCTCAGTAGGGAACAAAACGGTCCAAAAAACAATCACATAAGGTACATTGTTGAAAAATCTAAACTATTAGATCAACTTCAAAAAAGGGGGCATTTTGCTTGTACAATGATGAATTAGACAATTTTTAAATACATAAATATCCATGCATACTTTTGCAGCAATAGCTACGGGAGGAATGCAGACTTTTAAAGGCCCATGTAGGCTGATTCCTTGTCATTCCAACTTCTATGTTGGCAATGGGAAGAATCATGAGAGCTGCCATGCTGTCACCCCAGCTTCCTCTTTCTGCCTGCCGCCGGTGATGGAAAGGTGGTAAATCTTCTGCCTTAGCTTTGATGCTTTTTCATTAATTCACTTCTGGTTGTAAATTGTGGAAGATCTTCCACTTCAATCCCATCAGCCATCTCCATCACCTTGTCTAGAAGATCTTTATTATAACTGCAGCCCAGGAAGAGGTGGTAGGCCCAGACCATGGAGAGGGACAGCAACTGGTCCAGGCGGCCGCCACCGTCGGGCGGGTCACGGTAGTCGGGCAGGTCACGGTAGTCGGGCAGATGGCGCAGGATGAATTCCATGCAGGCCTTCCATTGCTTCTTGCTCTCTGAGTAGGAGCGGAACTGCTCGGCGAAGTCTGCCGCCACCTGCCGCACCCCAGGTGCGGCAGTGGCCGTCTCGCCACCAACCATGACTCCGGCGGCTGCCGCCAAAGTCCCGACCCGTCCGCGCCTTCCCGACAAGCACTGCCCCATGCCCATTTCTGTACAGGCATTTAAGATTTACTTTTTCCAATTACTAACCTAATGAATGCTTAGTGTAGTAAGTGTAAAGAGCACATATAGAACATGAATTTATTTATGAAGCACCCACAGTTTAGATTATTAGGAGATCATTTTGACCCAAGAATTTTCTTTCCACACATCCTTCTTTGTACTAGAAAATGACACGAGGTCCATTTTACTACAAGTAAACTATTACAAAGTATTTACAAGAAAATGTTGTTACAGCTCTGCTTCAGGACCCTCTCTTCACAAGAACAAGGCTAAACTTTAGGGCATCTCTGAAGCTATTTTTGTTGTTGTTGTTGTTGATCGTGGGGCTTGAACTCTGGGCCTGAGTACTCTCCAATAAACCACTAGAAAAAAAAAACGCAAGTGGTGCTGTAGCTCAAGTGGTAGAGTGCTGGCCTTGAGCTGAAGAGCGCAGGGACAGTGCTCAAGCCCAGAGTTCAAGCTCCACAACCAACCAAAAAAAAAAAAAAAAAAAGAGTTTCACAGACTTTCCTGCCCAGGCTGGCTTTGAACTGCAATCCTCAGATCTCAGCCTTTTGAGTAGCTAGGATTACAGGAGTGAGCCACTGGCACCCAGCTTATGACTGTCAGTTCTATCTCCAAATCAATTTAAAAATCTATCTACTGTATTACAATACAGAATGGCTTATACTCTTACCCAACCTTCCCAATGTATTCAGGACCAATTTAATCCATCTCAAAAGATTTCTGAAGCTGTGTACCAGTGGTTCATACCTATAATCTCAGCTACTCAGGAGGCTGAGATCTAAGAATCACAGTTCAAGCCAGTCTGGGCAGGAAAGTCAAAGAGACTCTTACATCCAATTAACCACACACAAAACACACAAACCCAGAAGTGGAACTGTGACTAAAGTGCTAGAGTACTAGCCTTGAGGGCAAATGCATAGGGACAGTACACACACACACACACACACACACACACACAAATAATAGCAACAACAAACAAAAAAGATTCCTAAAAGCTCCATAACTACTTTGTCTCCTAGGCTAAGTAGTCCAGGCCTTTTCCAATTCATGTTTTCACATCACTACAAGAACATTATTAAGAAGTGAACACTTGGGCTGGGAAGGTGGATCAGTGGTAGAGTGTTTGTTTGCCTTCCATGCATGAGGCCCTGGGTTCGATTCCTCAGCACCACATAAGCAAAAAGAAAAAAGCCGGAAGTGGTGCTGTGACTCAAGTGGTAGAGTGCTAGCCTTGAGCTGAAGAGCTGAGGGACAGCACCCAGGCCCAGAGTTCAGGCCCCACGACCGACAAAAAAAAAAAAAAAATTAACACTTAAACATTTAAAAAAATGTTTAAATTATTTGCCATTAAAGTTCAAATGGATAAACTACTTACTCTAGATATTCTGGCCAGACTATCCATTTCTCAAAGGCTCTAGTCTATCTTACCATTATAGCTTCACAGCACATTATATTAAACAGAACAAGTTCTTCTTATCACTTCATTTCTGTCACATCTACAGTTAAGGTTACATATACATAAAATACACATAGTTGAGATTAGCAAAGGTAATGCTGGAAACAATTTCACATACTCTAGAAAAATACAGTGTATATGCAGACACACATAAGACACACATATACATTCTTTTTTTTTTTTGGGTCCGACAATAAAAAAAAAACTACTTTGCCAAATTCCAATTCACCACTATTCTTACTACCCACCCCCTCAATCAAAGTTTACTATAGCACAACTTACAAGGTAATTTTATTTTAGAGACAGGATATTGTTATGCCAACTACGCTTGTTTTGAATCCCTGGGCTCAAATGATCCTTCTGCATCAGTCTCCCAAGTAGCTGGGACTATGTACACTATTACACTCATCTTCCTAAGGTAAGTGTAGACAGATTAAGATTTTTATAGTACTCCATTTTCCCACCAAGAACACCCTGAGTCTCTTAATGCATCCTAACTTTAGTCTGCTTCTTTGGCAAGTTTATACATTTCTTTTTTTTTTTTTCTTTTTTTGCCGGTCACGGGGCCTGAACTCTGGGCCTGGGCGCTGTCCCTCAGCTCTTCAGCTCAAGGCTAGCACTCTACCACTTGAGCCACAGCGCCACTTCCAGCTTTTTTTTTTTTTTTTTTTCTGCTTATGTGATACTTGAGGAACCGAACCCAGGGCCTTATGCATGCAAGGTAAGCAATCTATCACTGAGCCACCTTCTCAGCTCAAGTTTATAGATTTCTGATTATAAATAGTCCTAACTTTTTTTGGTGATAAGTTGCTGTGATATTCTTAAAGTTTTATTATTAGATAATATACTGATTATCTACCTTCCCAAACTTTATGGAAAAATTTCTGAATTAGTGATATTGAATGTCCTAAGTGTAGGATATTTTCTACACATAATAACTTTGCTTCTCCTCTCTCAATATTTATGATTCCATTTTCTTATCTAACTGCTACAGTTAAGACTTCCAAATTAGATTTGAAAAAAATTGCTATTTTGTCATGTTAAATACCACATTATGAAACTGTACCCCTCTGTACATCACTTGTATAATAACAATTGTTTTTAATTTTTAAATAAGAAACTCACATTAACTAATTAGTTTGCAATAAATATTTTATTTCATGGTAATAATCTATTATTCTATATGAATTTTAAAGAGGGGTCGGTGGGAATAGTTAGGAGAGTAAGAAGTGAATATGAAATCATTAAATGGTTGATTTGTTAAAGGTTGGTCACATATACTTTCTCATTTGATCCAAGGATAGAAATTTATTAACAGTTCAGGAATTATTAATGAAGCAGTGGCTGTGGAGTAGACTGTCTGGGCCTCATTTGTAAAGTGGGAACATTACTAGACATGCTAGCCTTTTATACAGGTTAAGGAAGAATACGCAAGAAGGACTGATGCAAGGAGCATAGTAAGTGCTATACTAGAATTTGTGATTATCACTTTAAAATATTGCTACATTCCTAGGCTAAATTATACTTGATCATTGTGCATAGATCTTTCAATATATGTAACAATTTCTGTAGCTAATAATTTAAGATAAAACATAAATACAAATATTTCTTTAACGCTCTGAAAAATATTAGATTTAATTAGTTTATTCTAAGAACTTAAAAAAAAAAAACTAATAAAGACAGGCGCCGGTGGCTTATGCCCATAAGCCTAGCTACTCAGGAGGCTGACATCTAAAGATCATGGTTCAAATCCAGACCAAGCAGGAATGTCTGTGAGACTTATCTCCAATTAACCACCAGAAAACCAGAAGCAGCACTATGGCTCAAGTGGTAGAGTACTTGCCTTGAGCTGAACTGTTGAGGGACAGAACTCAGGCCCAGCATTCAAGCCCCACAACCAACAACAACAAAAGACACAAAAAAAATTAATAATATAAACAAAAATACCTCGGAAGAAATAATTTTAGGTTTTGGTAATTGGGTTAGGCTATCTCATAAAATACATGAGAAGTGTTCATTGATTTTCTTTGTGCTGAAGCAGAATATTACATAAATATAATCTAGTTCTTGAAAAATGTCAAGTACTCAAACAAAATAAATATATGTAAATATTTATATATGTACGTATATGCATTTACACACACACACAAAACTATAATGAAGGAGGTATGAGGAAGTAATTTAAGAGCTAAATCCTACCAGTAGGATAACGACATTTTACATTCAATAAATAAAAAATAATTTAAGGGAAGGGAGGTAGGGAGTGTGAATCTGGGGGTAAAATTGCTTGGAATACAGTATAAACATGTGGAGATGTAACAATAAAAACTCTCCCTGTATAACTAATATAAGCCAAGTGTTTAAAAGGAATAAGGAGGAATAAAGACCTTCCCCCAAAAAAAAGAAACTAAAAAAATAGTAATATAGGTATATTACTTATAAACTCCTTCTCAGAAGAAATAAAAGAATTAAAAGTGCCTATCTTTGGGAGCATATCTGGTAGTTAAGGAATGGTGGTTTTCAGTTATAAGTTTTTCATACTATATGACTTTTTAAAATGACGTACTTTTACTAATTTCATTAAAGATTATTTTGTACAAACACACATACACATATACTAGAAATTCTACAAAACTTGGATGGTGACAGATCGTTTCCATAGGTTATGAGTGTTCTATGAGTTAATATATTCTGTAAAATTGAGATAATAATAGAATCTATTTCATCATATTTTGTGTTAGACAAATTAATGTAGTATATTCCCAGAACAGAACTTCTGTAACACTTGTTGCCACTGAGCACCTTCAGGTATGTGCAGCACCATGAAAAATGCTTTATACATATTACCACACATTGTATCATGTAGAGACAACAAACGGTTCCTGTGTGCAAAGTACAAATGAGGCTGATTTTAAGCACAATGTATGATCCCACTATTTTCTGTTAATAAAACTTACTTTTGCTTTAGAACTGTTCTTAGAGCATCTTTCTGTCCCACTGTGTACTGAGAAATAAGGATGTCATTTGCTGCAAAATCAAAATATAATATTTCAGATTCCTGAAAATAAATTATAATATGCTACTCCAAATTGTCAACTTTGTAAAGTAAGAGAATAACTAGGAATTTAGTATCCCTCAATTTTAAAAAAAGGCAAGGAAGATCAGAGGATCACAGTTCAAAGGTAGCCCAGGCAAAAAAGTTCCTGTGATACTCTTCAATTAATCACCTAAAAACCTTACGTGGGCCTGTGGCTCAAGTGCTAGAGTGCTAGCCTTGAGCACAAAGAAGCTCAGGGATAGCACCAAGGCCCTGAGTTCAAGCATGACAACCAACAGAAAAAAAAGGCAAGGAATAAATTAATAAAATTACAGTCTTAGCCAATAAAAATATATACTCATAAACAGTAGAAATTAAATACAGTTTTGAAAATCTTTTTTTTTTTTTGGTCATGGATCTTGAACTCTGAGCCTGGATGGTGTCCCTGAGCTCTTCAGCTCAAGGCTAGCACTCTACCAC